ATATGGAGGCACATGGAGGTACATGGAGGCACATGGAGGTATATGGAGGCACATGGAGGTATATGGAGGCACATGGAGGTATATGGAGGTATATGGAGGTACATAGAGGCACATGGAGGTGCAGGGTTTGAATCTCGCCACCCTTCTGCTCCTCTCACCTTCTCAGGAACGTTTCCTTTGTCTCGGCAGGTCATCGATGTGGATAAAAGTTTTGTGAGTTTGTTCCCCACAAAGGCAGAAATGACGCTGCAGAAGTCGGATCCGGTCACATGGGGGAGATTGGAGCTGACGGCTTCCAACCCGCAAAATACAGCCGAATCAGAACCAGACCCAGAACTGGTACCACAAGACGGTGCCGGAGAGGACTCTGATGACAGCCTGAGCTGGTCAGAGGACGAGGAACCCGAGTGACAAATCTCTACAATGACACGCGGAAATCTCACCGCCATTATTTTATATTCCTCTCAGTAAATGTCTGTTACCTCTCCGTGTCACATGTTGTATGATGTCATTGTTATGTTACACGCCCCGACCAGTTCGTCCCCTCCCCCCCATGGCCATTAATATGGAGTCGTCCCCTCCCCCCATGGCCATTAATATGGAGTTGCCACTTTGTGTCTATACCATCCCCCACTCTTCTAGGAAGACTTTTGCACAAGATGTTGGGGGGTGCCTGTGGGAATTTGCCCCATGTGTGAGGTCAGGTGCTGATGTTGAATGAAAAGATCCGGGCTCACAATCACCAATTTACCCCAAAGGTGTTCAGTAGGGATGAGGTCAGGTAATGATGTTGGATGAGGGGACCCGGGCTCACAGTCGGGGATCAGTAGGGATGAGGTCGGGGCTCTGTGCAGGTCACACCATGTCTGTATGGAGCTGGCTTTGTACACAGGGGACAGCCATGGGGGGAGGGGGGGACAGTCATGGGGGGAACAGAAAAGGGACTTCACCAAACTGTGACCACAAGGCCGGAAGATCCCAATTGTCTACAATGTCTTTGTATGATGGAGGAGGAAAAGAACCTTCACTGGAGACCCCTGACCCCCATCCCTGGAGACCCCTGACCCCCATCCCTGGAGACCCCTGACCCCCATCCCTGGAGACCCCTGACCCCCATCCCTGGAGACCCCTGACCCCCATCCCTGGAGACCCCTGACCCCCATCCCTGGAGACCCCTGACCCCCATCCCTGGAGACCCCTGACCCCCATCCCTGGAGACCCCTGACCCCCATCCCTGGAGACCCCTGACCCCCATCCCTGGAGACCCCTGACCCCCATCCCTGGAGACCCCTGACCCCCATCACTGGAGACCCCTGACCTCCATCATTGGGACAGAGGCCCATATTCTTCTTCCCCAGGCAGCCACATAAAAGGTTAAATAGGGTGATGTGGGGAGGAAGAGCTGGGTCAGCACAGACAATAATTAGACACATGCAGAAGGGGAGAGGCTATGGAAGGGAATTGACTCTTCCGGGGTAGTCACATTTTCAGAGGTACAATGCAAAATAAAACAAATCATTTATGGAAAGTGAGAATATAAAATATTGCATTCCTCTGTTACCTGCAAGGTGGTGACCGCACATAGGACGTAACACGGAGCCACAACCTGGGAAACATGTCACTGCACATGGCTCTTCCTGCCGTGACACTCCCAATGGGTCCCCTCGCTGCTCCTCCTCACCGACAGCACCCAACCCAGGCTGCAAGTCAACTATTTCAGCTGAAATCTGAGGAACCTCATGAGGAAAAGAAGGACAGAGGTCAGATAGAAGACTGAAGGGGAGGACGGAGGTCAGATATATGGCTGAAGGGGAGGACGGAGGTCAGATAGAAGACTGAAGGGGAGGACGGAGGTCAGATAGAAGACTGAAGGGGAGGACGGAGGTCAGATAGAAGACTGAAGGG